TTAAAACAATAAGTCATTTGATCTCATCGACTTGTTTTTTTTCTTCCTTTTTTATACTTAAATCTCCAGAATAACGTGAAAGTGTTAAATTAGACTGTTTCAAATAAGCACAAATAGTTGACGGTAGCAAAGCAAGYGTTAACACTGAGCGTCGTCCTTGCTCGCTTTTTGTAAGATGTTTTCATACAGGCTTGTGCTGTCAGGGCAAAAAAAAATAATGACTTGCCTGGTACTAGGGAAGAGACCTGGCACAGCTGCAGAGCTTTTGGAAATACAAGATCCTAGAATAGGCTGGGTGGGGCAGCTTTGCATGCATCCTGTTGGCTCCAGGAAGATGCTCCCAGGAGAGAACTTCAGTACTGCTGTGGGCCGTGAAAACTGTAGGTCCTAATTATGAGATGTGTACGAGGCACAGGGAGAAAACCCATGTTAAAGTCAGAAAACCACATCTGCAGAACTGTCTATTGCTTAATGATGGGTTGCAGGCTACCTTAGCTGGTAGCAGTCGAAGTTATGCGTTGCCTCTGTCTGACTAGTGCTAATGACTACTCTGATATCCTTGTCACACAGCCAAGATAAAAGACTATATTCTTCTTTACAGTTTCACTTTTAGAATTTCACAGGAGCCTGCTSAATTCTACTTAAAGTAGTTGCTGTTCTAGATTCAGGCCCACACAGWCTTACCGTACTTAGAATCGTGACTAAAGCTTGTCTGGCTCCTTGTTGGCTTTTTTTTTATTCGTGTGGTGTGCTGTTGTGACATAAATAACCTTTTTTTTTTTCAAAACAAAGGGGAAGCACAACATTTTTCTTGTCCCAAACATAATACCTATTATACCTCATCACATTTTAATGGTAAAAACATGGAAAAGAATTCAGGTACTACAAAGGGAACAAGATACTATCATTAGAATTTGTTCAGTTGAAAATTATAYCCTTCTTTTTTTGTTCAACATGCAGTGTATTATTATTTTTTCCTTAAGATTGATGTCCTGTTATCCTTTCACTAGCCTGTACAAAGTTTTAAAGACTTACAGTATTTAAATGATTTATCRCCCATCTGACTTGGCTGTATTGCCTATTCAGACAACCATGTACCCCAAGTTGCTGAAATCGGGTGTTTATTATTGGACCCTCAGTGAATATATATGATTTTAAAGCGATTTAAAGTCTTGTGGGTATTTTTATACTGCATAACTACCTAGTTTTCTCTGCACACTTGCCCAGTCGTTCATAGAATACAGTTGTCTTGAAGAAAGGCCTTCTCTGTTTCTGTGTTCAATTTGCATGAAGGAAGTTGAGGGACGTGTTGTGTGCATGAGGCCGCGTGACTTCCCATAGCAAAACACAGCCCCAGTTATTCAGTAACACACACACACCGATCTCTTACACTTGGGACAGCACATGTACACAGTTCCTGCTGTGAAGCCCTGGCAGGGTGCCCGAGTAATATTTTAGGTTGTATTTGTTTATGATGGTGAAAATCAATGTGGCTGCCATAAAGTAGGCCAAATGTCAACCATATTGAATAAACAAATTCACTTACAAGATTTTGCCCTCTACCATGATTTGATCTGAATACATATTTTAATTTTGTCCTTTTTATTTTTAAGTTGGGTAAATGCAGGTACAATGATCTGTTATTGTTTTAGGGGGCTAAAATTGATCTGTCAGTTTGTTGCATTTAAACGAGCCTTGTTTGTCCAGAAGGTGGCGCTATCGCACCATGTGGCTCTGTTCATGGTTTCTGTTTAAAAGGTTGAAAAGCTTCAGGAAGTGAGGCATACATTCATGTTGCTACAGCAGCAGCTTTTGGCCGTAGAGTTCTGCTTGGCGGTAATTTTGTCTTMAGGGTGCTAGCACTGCAGACCGTGACAAGGCTGACATCTGTAGGACTACTGGATCACTCAAAACTGAAAATTTAAATATCTTTATACCGCGTGGGGTTGTTTTGCTGACTAGGATGTTGTTTGTGGCATCAGTCCCTGCTTTCGTCAACACAAGATTTTGAAAAACCTTAAATCTATTATCTAATCACGTTTTAGAAACCAGCCGTCCTGAATTGAGTAATTTCATGTTTTTAGTCAGTGACGCACAAGTTCTGTTTGGAACGAAGATAATCAGTGACTATAATACCTCTTTGAACATTTTGTTCRAGCGTTGTTGGTACTTAAAACAATGAGTGGACAAAATTGATCAAACTATACTGTTGAAGGCAGTTTGACTCTGTGCTGTATGTTAGCCATTTGAGGGAAATTAATAGGTTTGACCTTTTTTTTTGTTCACTTTTGTGTGGAGAAAAAAGTTTTTATAAACACTTTAAACTTCCATTTTCTTTGAAGCTGGAAAATTTGATTGTGGAAAGATTTATCTATAGCCTTTTTAATAAAGGACTGGCAAATGATAAAACACTGGCCTGCTTATCCAATATCAATAGATGTCAGGTAACTCCTTACTGATAGATTTTGTATCTAGGGCAAATGCATACATGCTCCACAGCCCTGAAAGGCCTCAAGACTGTGGTCAGGATCATGTTTTAATGATTTGCTAACTGCCAAATCTATTTAAACCCAGCTGGCACCCCTTGTTCACTCTGTAGGTTGTCACATGTTAGCAGTGGAAATGTGGCAGGTGGTGTTGAGACAGCATAGGTTTAAAGTAAGTGATWTATAATTAAAGTGTGGTTGATGTCAGATGTACAGTTGGACTATCTTGATGAGGTCAWAGGAATAAACCACTGAAGATCAAATCCTGACATGTTTGGACTACTTGTTACACTACATTGACATATCAATTTTTTTTGTGTGTTTTTTATACATTTGTTGACTATTYCTGTGCCCTAAACCTCGTTAACATCCTTCACAGTTGTCATTCCTATTGTATTGGCCGCTTGTAAAGCCACCTTGTTGCCGATGAGAATAGACCATTGTATTTTGTGGTTAGATTTTTAATTCTTTGCAATGTTTTTTTGAACCCCTACATTTYCATCACCTCCCACTGTTGTGTATTTCCACAACATCTCTCCTTAATCCTTGGGGAAAATGAAAGCTAAGAGAGCAGTTTGGGTTTGAGACCGAACACTTGACTCTTGTCCTGCTGTGGCTTTATCTTTATGCTGTGCTCTGAAATGCTTTCGACACTTGCTGTAAAACAGACCTTTACTCCCTGTAGAGTTGGCGATTAGGATATAAGAGCAAAAGGTATTGAGACACCCTGTCGTTCGGCTACGTACAAGTTAGGACTGTAGAGAACCAGATGGAAAATCAGTTGATTATGGAGAATGAGAACGTTTTGGTAAACCAAGAAGATGCCGAGGCCGATTTATATTCTGTGGATCTGACAAGGTAAACCGTGCATACCTACTTACCTGCACTTTTTAAAAATGTCAAATAAAAAAATAAGTTGACAGAAGTACGTTTGAGGAGCATTTAAAAATTCATATTTTTCTGCTAAACTGTAGGAATAAATATTCAGTTTGAAAGGTATTATTTAATGCTTTACTAGATGGACTATTTGTAAACCAAGATGAGTGTTTTAACCTGGTAGCATAATCACATGATCTTGTTTTGTTAGATAATGAACAAATACTGGGAACTCTTACTTGTGTATTTGTAAGCTTTGTCWCATGACACGACATCATGTAMGGTTCATGAGTGATATTCTTCTSGTGATAAACTTTTTTKKYMAWTTTTTTARACAATTTTAATGCTTGCGCAAAATTTGTTAATCTAAGTGGTGATAGATTCAAAATGGTTCTATTCCCATCACCCAGTGACGTGCACACTTCAACAAGGAAATGGGTCAGAAGTCAATTCCTAACAGCACACACCCCTATAAGCTACCTCCTGCTTTGCAAATGCAAAATACTAATTCAGACATCACTGCTAAAGAAGACATAGGTCACATTTAGATAAGTTGTCCTTCAATGCTGTAATTGTCAAGTGATTCTTTTTTATTGCTGTCATGCAATGTCTGCCTTGGCATGATTTTATTTTTGAACGGTTATTTTACTAAGTTGAATTGGATCAGTTTGGTTTTTTTCTTCTTCATCATGAAACATAAAAACCTAAAAAGTTTAATGATGGCACTGTYCGCTCATACTGTTTATAGAATAATCACATGACTGGTTGCAARTTGTTAGCACTAGTAAGCATCTAATGTGTAGCTTTAAGAGTTTACTTCTGAGTGCTGGCATATATCAGCTGCTTACACAAAGTAAAACAATTTGTCACTAAATCAGGAAGTTGTTCTGCAGTTTGATTGTATTTGAATGCTACTTGCATCTTCATGGGGTTTTTAAACCCCCTGCAAGTATAATTAATGTACACCAAGCAGTTAAAAAAAA